TCTTTTGAACTTAAATTTTCAATATTGTATGATGAAATGAGTGAGTGCAAAATAGTAATTTTTTTTCTTTACAGCAATTACAACAACAAAATATCACATTGGTTATAAATGATCAGCAAGGCAAATAAATGTTCCGTGTTAAAAGAGAATAAATAAATAAAAAATAATTAAAGAAAAAAAAGAAAAATAAAACTAAACAAAGTGAGATGATGATGAAATTTTTAAAAACATTTAAAATTTTGGAAAATGTAAATTCAGCGAACATTTTGTTTGCGGTTGTAATATATTTAATCAAAACGTGCCACTATAAAAAAAAAACTAGCATATGCTACATTTTTTTTCTCATTTACAGAACATTTTTAAGGTATTTCAAGGCCGATTAGGGAATACATAGAGAAATAATAATTTAAATGCGTAATTAAAACTGCTTAACATTTCTTTTTCTCATTTCTTATATTATTTTATGTCAAACGCAAAAAATAGTCAAAAGGGTTAAGAAAAATGTATTTAACAATACATTAATTATTTTTAAATTATTTACAAATCATTTAGAAATTATTGAACAAAAAAAAACATTAAAATTGGACTGGAAAAAAACTACCTCAAGTAAACAAATGATCATTGTCACAGGCATGTTTACACTTCCCTTTAGGCTTATTTTCATTCAAATACTCATCAGTTTTTTAGACAATCCATGACAATTGCAAAAGTAAAATGGTTAAAATATCTTTAAAGTATTTTTTCAAGAATATTAGGCAGGTTATTTTTCAAAATGGTTCTTCCTAATGCCCACCACGCAAACTTAGATGACCTAATCGCCTTATACACGCATAACGAGAGTCAACAATGTCTCTTCCTCTTCATGTGTGTTGTGTGTATACGTACAATTAATAGAAAAACAAATGTACTTTATCCGCAAACTAGTTTTCTTTTGCTTACCGCTCATCACTCATCACAACTCAGCCATTTTACAGTATGAATTTTAAAAATGAAAGGCCAAATTTAGAACCTGTGCCCGAAATAAGCAAAAACGTCATTGAGTGGAGTTTTTAATGTGTAAATGGTAAACCGACAACAATAATAGTAACAACAACAAATGGCGACAACAATGCAGATGACAAAATAAAAATAAAAATAAAAAAACAAAACAAAAACAACATTGACCGCGTTCAATAGCAAAAGTTTGGCATTTATAAACAAAAATAAAACAATAATAAAAGCGCAAAAATACAATATAAAAATAGTTCTTTTTGAACGTAATTGTTTTTTTTTTTTCAATCTTAAAATAAGAACTAAAATAGAATTTTACTTTGATTTGTTGACAGATTTTAACTACGAGACATTTTAGCAGCAAAACATTTTAGAGCAAAAAAAAAACTTTGTTAATTCTCTGCGCAGTGGCAAATTACGCAGCTCAAACAATGCTATGTGTACTTAGAAGTTGGTGGGAGGAGGGGTAGCATTTTATCGTAATAACAATACTTTGGTGCTCAATATACGATAAATAAGGCGACAGAAAAAAAAAAGCAAACAGTACAGCACTTTGCCAGGGTTAGTTGACCCCTAACGTATTGCTGCAAGCAGCAATGATGTCAATCATTTCGTAAATTTAACCACTTTCACCCTACTTTTACGACATTTTCATTTCCTCATTGTAATGAATAAAAATTATGAGAAATACTTGGTGACATATTAAAAAATTGTAAATATATAATTTATTTTACCTGTGACAGTAATCGCTGGTGTGCAGCTGATTGTTCAGCTGCTGCGCTTGCTGTTGTTGTTGCTTTTGTATGTTTTGACCTCCTACAGCTTTGATTTTCTGTGCTCTGCTCGTCTAAAAAATTTGTGGTCGTTGTAGCACTTAAATTTTTTGCTAAATTATTTGTATTTGTTTTTTCGATATCATTCCTGTTCCTTGATGCTTTGTTTCCCATTAATATATTTAATTTTTAACATTAATTATTTTTGTTTTGCTTTCTCCTAAAACTTTTTTTTCCTTTTTACTTTTCCCTTGTTTCTTGCCTTATTTTCACTTTTTAGTTTCAGAATTCATTGAAAATTTACGAATTTAGCATATTTATATAGATTTATCTTTACAACTTATATTCGAAACACGTTTATTAGTATATTATTACTTAAATTTAAATAAAATTATTTAACAATTATGTTATATGCAAAATTTCTGCGTTTATAATTTATTTCCTCTAACGCAGCAAATTTTACATAAACGAATTTTACCAACTGAACTGAACTCTGGCGAGCGAGAAACTAAAATGAATGCCTGAACAATGCTACCAAATCAACCAAAGTAAGTGCGGCGAATTAAGTTTCGCACATGCCACAGTCAAACAAAAATCGTAGTAAAATAATATGTATTCTTCCATATGTTGGCCGTATTCAAGTTACATTATGTCGTACATTATGTCGGTAGGGCAGTAAATGTTGGTATTTACCAGAATTTCGAGTTGAGTAAATTATATAAAAATTAGGTAAATTAGATATTAACATTGTAATAATTTTACATGTTTAATAAATTAATTTGAAAACTTTTAACCAAAAATAATAAATAAATGCAATAAATAAATAAATATATACATAAGTGCAGTCCAAAAAATCCCTGGGAAATTTCAGTTTACTTTACCTCAATTTACTAGAACTCGCATAAGGCCGTTATATGCTAGTACCGCCAGTTGTGTTGTATTGGTTTTATAGTTAGCTGGTGCATGGATCTTGTAATATCAATTGCAAGTTACACGTCAAATATTAACCACGTTTTCGAAAAGTTGGCAAAGTCATAACTTAATGTTTTTATATGGAACGTGCATAAACCATTAACTGGCTTGAGTAGCTAAAAATTTCAAAAATCAATACGCACAAATACTAACACACTGTGCCCAATTAAACTACTATCGCTGATTACTGTATTCCGTAAAATTGGACTACAGTGACAGTCATCAAGCATTGTAATAAAGAAATGCAGTTCAATTATGTTTAAGACATTAAATTGAAAGCCTAGTTTATTAACGGGTTAGCCGTTGAACTGAATTCACTGAATACTGCATTCAATACAATTAAACTCTGTGGAAGTAGTTAGATACTGTAGCAAGAACTATAGTTGAATCGTGCTTTCAATTTTTGAATATACTCCTCATCAGATTTTATGGTTAACTATAACATTATATTTCTGCTTAAGTTAGACTAATAAAAATTTTCCGCCAAGTTCTGAGAGTTTATTCAGAACATTTTTAGTATAAATTAAAAATTTTGTGATATAATTATAATTTTCCGACAACTCAAGTACATTACTTGTAACCCAATATACGAACGTAGTTGTAAACAAATTCAATTAACATATATATTAAAATACTGTTTTTGCTTTCAAACTATCGAATGAGTTATAAACTTTACTGTGATTTTTTTTACAAGCTAGAAAAACCAAAAGTATCCGAATATTTGAATTTAGGTTTATTTTGAAGACTGAAGAATACAAAAGCACATAAGTTTTATATATATAATATTTGTTAATAAATAAAAGAGAAATATTTTTTCAATTATCATTTCTATTGCAAAATCCATTGGACATTATGCGAAATAAAGTGAAAAATCAATGCAGCCTCAATAAATTAAAGAACAGAGAAAACTATATGTATGTTTACTACTGTAAATCAGCTGATGGAGATCTATGGTTAATATTTTAAAACAAAGCAGTTTGCAACAACAATAATGCAGAATATATAATTATTTCTAATGATCGATAATATAGTTTGTACCATGTACAAAACTCGAAAACTCTATAATATCATAGAATTGTGTAAATAACTCGTTTGTATTTCCAATACGTAAAACATCTGTTGGTGTAAAGTCAGTTACCATTTGCAGTTCCGGCAAAGTTAGACTTGAAAATGTAGAAATATATTTCTGAAGGTCACTTTGCTTTTATTACACTCTTTTACCCACTTGAATTCTGAAAACAATGGAAAGTTTAGAAACTTTATTAAACAGAATTCATTGACAGTTTATGCGGTTTGCAAGGTCTCGTGTTCACTCATATAATTAAATTTCTAATTCTGAGAATACCCAGAAAAGGGATCTTAACTGTGTTAATTATATTTGTTAAAGCATTTAAAACATCAATTTCGGGGAAAGTGGGATAGGTTTTTTTTTCGCCCACTCTCATTTTTTATGCCCCTACGTTTTTTTTTAAATTTGTTTTTGGTAAAGAATACTCTGTTTCCAAATGCTTTAGTATAATATATAGATATATCAATAATCTTGTTTTGTAATTACATAACTTTTAAAAAATTAACTTTAGATATTATTTTATTATATATATGTAGTCGGGTATAATGAATATTTACTATATACAAATTATATGTTGCTTAGTCTGTATGTATTAACAACTTATAAAAAAGGTTTTTCTTTCATTAACGGTTTATTAGAAGTGTAAACAATTAATTCTCTTAAATTCAATTTTCAATTGAAAACATATATATGTTCTGTCAAAACATAAAATTTTATTAATTTAAAAATTATGCATAAGAGTTTAAGTTCAAAATTCAAAAAATTGATATCTGACACAAATTCATTACCAAAATTCTTTTAAACAAAAATATTTTTGTCGAATTTGCAATACCTAACTAAAAAATATTTTTATTGCAATTGCTACCTGTGAAAAGAGATTCTAATTATATTCATGTAGGTAAGAAAAATAAAATATTAACTGTCAGTTTGTTTTATCCTTCACAGAAAAAATTAATCTATTCGTAGGTAAATAATTTTACAATGGTAGCGTATAAAATTTAGGAGTAGAAGCGTATATATATGCAACCCTGCTATTAATGTTTATTCATTTGACATTTAATAATTTTAGTTGGCAGTATTTAAATCGTCAAAATTCTGTGTCGCGTTACAGTCTGTTAGAAGCGTTCAAGAGTAACTATTCTTCATAGAAATTAATAAAATACTTTCGTAATTTTATATTAAAATAAGATTTGAAAATGGATGTATCGTTAGATGAAATAATACGTACTCGCCAAATCGGAAGTTTAGTAAAGAAAAAGTCGTAAGTAAAGAAATAAAAAATGGCGATAGTGAGGTGCGTTGATTGCGATAATTGATTTTTCTTTTCTTGATTTATAGAACCACTGGGAAACCTGCACAAAAAAAATTGGTCAATCGTAGTACTTTTAAACCGAATAACTTTAAACCGCCTGCACGTACGTTTGATGCTCGTAATAGGATTATAGAAAAAAATCGTGCAAAAATACGTGATGCTCGGGATAAACTTGCTGAAATTTCGAGAGCCTGTGGTGATGTACGCCACCGTTTGTTACAAAAACAAGCATCAAGTCCCAGTTTTATGTCATCACAGACTAAACAAAATTATCGCCCAGATCGTGTAGCAAGAATCGCACCAATTCGCCGGTCTACATCATTAGGATTAACCAGCAAAAGTGCAAAGCAACGAATGAAGAGAATGCCTGATATGTTTAATGTTCCTTTAGGATATGTTGATCATGACAATATGGAACGAATGGAACAAGGTAAATTCTAGTAAAGATTATTTTGTCATATCTTTTTAAATCATATATTCAATTTATAGAGGAATATGCACTCGCATCGCATCTTAGTCGCACTGTAAAAAATGACATAGCACAATTTGGATACAATAATACACATACAAACGTTCCGCCACCTGCACCTAGACGCTTAAATTCATGGGGATCCAATTCTGATCAATTTGAACCATTTGATGTATATGAGATTCCACGCTCAAGGCCAGAACGACGAATGTCTGTCGACTTACCACCACCACCGCCTAAAGGTATTTTACGTTCGAGTGTCAGAGAACAAAGCCCACCCAGCATGTACCAGCGCCGGTTTAATCCAGAAAATAGTCATCTATCATATGAAATGCGTTCACGTTTAATGACTACACCAGATCCGCATGCTTCAATGGGTATTTTTGCAAACCCACAAAAAACGGTTCATCCACAAGTCTCGCCAAACGGTTATCGTATTGTAGTGAGCAATTTACACACTAGTGTTACCCAGACTGATATACAAGAACTATTCGAAGATGTGGGTGAACTGTATGATGCTCGCATTGTGCGTCCCGGTATAGCAGAAGTTGTTTATAAATCTCTAACAGATGCTGAGAAAGCAGTAGATCAGTATCATAATCGGCAGTTAGATGGACAACCGATGAAGTGTCTTTTGGTCAATCCACGCGCTTCAAATAAGCCAACAGCGCCAGCTTTAAAGACTGCAAGGTAAATGCTAATAATAAAGCTATTAGATTGAAAACTTTGATGTTAATAATATAGTTTTTACAGCTCAACTGCAAGACTCGCATCAAATAAAACACCATTGGAAATTGATATTGATGCATTGCATAAAGTGCTTTTTAGACGTTAAATTCAAAGCCTTAAAATACTCATTAACGTTACAATAAAACAAAAGTTAAATATGAAATGAAAATGAAAATGTTGGCATGAAACGATTGCAGTAAATAGATTAAGGACTAAAATGATGCGGTCGAGCGGAAATTTGTCAATTTATACCACAAACTGCAGCTAAAATATAAAACTACAATTTTATAAATTTCATAAATTTTCTGTTTTTTAAAGAAAAACAAACTAATTTGATTTTAACTTTTATTCGTTTCGAGTATTGTATGTCGAGTATTGCTGTTTATTTGCATGTGTAAAGAGAAACTTCTCAACTTAATATACAATATCAAAATTGAATGATTTCTTAAAATGCATAATTATTTTGTTTTCCCTTTAAATTTTAGTTAACATTTTAGTGTATAGATACACTCTGTAACTACTCAAAATTACTTATCAAATATAAAATAACTTTCATGTAATAAACTGAACGTTAAATTTAATAAATTTAAATGGATTTGTATTACAATTAAAAACATCTCGTTGAAATTTTTCAAAAGTTTATTAAAATTTTGGTTGAGTTTTTTTAAATTGATTTTTTTTTATATGTCTATATATAAAAGTGCATAAAAATTAATTCCTGAAACAAAATTTCAATGAATTTTTTTTTCTTCTTAAATATTTACTTAGCAACTAATCAGGACTCGTTACTTGTTTCTTATATTTTCAATATATTTTTAATTTTTCTTATAAAGTATTTCTAAAAATTATTTCTCTTTTACGTTAATTAATAATTAAAGTACAATGTTGTTGATATATTGTTACTGTTCCTAGCGATCGTTGTCTGTAAAAAATATTTTTATATCCTTCATTTTTGATCTATTTTTATTACTACAGTAATATTTATTGCTGCGACACCCATTTATTAAGTTGTTTTACAAATCACGCACACCAGTTCCATAATTAGCACCGCCAGCACGATTAAGTGCATCCCGGAAAAGTTCAATGTCTAATTCATTATCCACGCCGGCCTGTAGTTCAACGGCAAAATTCTAGAAATAAATGTATACAGGTTTCATTAATTTATGTTTAAAGTGAGGTGTTATAGTTTTGTGTTCTATTAAAGTGTTAGGGTTGTTAGGGTTACTTGATTCACAAGGTCTCACTAATAAATATATTGGAAAAGAGATCCAATATTATAATAAATAATTAGTTTCAGGAGGGGGTCAGTGCTATAAAATCATATTTGCAACACTCATATTACATATTGATCTATCTAGAATGGTTCATAGGGAGATTTGCTTGATAGTATTAAAAAAATCCGTAGTATTAAAAAAAATGGCTTTAGGACATAGACTCGTACTCTTTCAGAAACATTGTAATTAAAACATTATGAACATCCCTGCTGAAAAGACATCTCTTGGGTGGATAGATTTCTGAAATCAATATTCTTTTATCATAATCTGGAGTAATATAACTTCATATATTTGGACTGTGATTGTGAGTGTATAATAAATATAATAAGTATTGTATAATAAGTTTTGCTAGTATTTGAAAGTAATAAAGAATATAAAGTCCAAACACTTCACATAGAGTATTTTTATTAAGTATGGGATTTTGTTGCAATCGATGGATCACAACAATTGGATTTATTGCTATAGTATCTGCTAACAATATGACATTTTCATCAGTATTAATAATTCTATTAATTATTTCAGAAGTCTTCAAGAAAGAACATTTTGACCTTGACTATGTAAGGTTTTTCTCTGAAACGACACGTTACAGATGTCTGTGTATAACTAATAACTAATGTATTAGTAATAATTGAAGTCAATATTGTTCTGAAAAAAGGATTGAGTTCTTGGAGAAATACATACAAGGAAAATTTGGATTATACAAAATAATATCCAAACAGGTAGAAAAGTACTAACTTTAATTAGCTATAACAGCTGCTAGTATAATAATTGAAGGCGTTGAGAATAAATTAGAAAACATAGAAATAAGATTCTTTAGAGTACTAAAAAAAATTTTATCATTAATTTTTTTTGGATATAAGCCAAAAAATTCTATAAGCTAGAATTTTGTTAAGCGTAAAATACTTTGGATTAGTGATAAAATATTTGGGAAAAATTAAATAAATACAGGGAAGTAGGGAAGAACCCTACTAAAATAACTGATATTATAGAAATTCCAACTAATTAAAATTGCTTAAACTTAAATTTTTTTGTATTGGATTATTCTATAGAATGTACAAAAACTTCCAACCCGGATAGTATGTTTATATAATTCGATTATAATGTTACAGTGTAAACGATCACATCAAAATCTAAGTTAATTGAGATCGTATCAATTCTATTTTAAACCACATAAGAAATGTATTACATATATATTGGTCTTACATTTAATACATCCTTAATGAGTGCCTTATCTGTAGACATTTTAGCACGTTGAATTACACCAACATCTTGACCGATCCATGTTAGAAAGATGAATTTTTTCCTCTTCGACATTTCATCACCCATTTGTATTCTAATATAACCGAATGCACGTTCATTGTCACCGAATTGGTTACGGAACTCTTCAAAGCATTGTCCACGTGCCGTACATAATATACGAGGTCCATCAAACTTAAAGACGGCCCTATTAATGAGAGAATTACAAAAATAAATATTATATATTATTATGATTAATTATGAAAAACATTAATAATACTTACCATTCCGTGTCTGTGAGATCAGAACGTACATCTTCATATGCTTCACGAATTGCATCTTTATCCAAGGAAGTAGCTACGGGCATCTGAAAAAAATATATAAAAATAGATATTATTTAATTTGATGTAAAATATTGAAATATATGCTTTGATTAATTATTTCAATATATGTACATATTTCTGGAAGAAAGGAGGGCAAAATAACTATTGCGATGCTCATAAAATGAATTTGACTGGCTATACAAAGCGAATATTTGGGGACAACAAAAGCGACGAAAGTAGGATTAGGTCAATACAAACTTTAGAATATATGTGCTATTCGTCCTACAATTACTATCAAGAAAGTAAGTAAACCGCGTTCCGAACATTCACACCTTTCGTGTTGGATCTCATCACTCTTTCAGTTGTTAAAAGTGATGGGTTGATTTTTGCTTGTGAAGAAATGCTTAATAGTGGTTCCATATGATTTCCATAGTAAAGAGTTGGGGTTCGGTCGGTATGAGTGCTTTATAATCGTGATGATGTATGGTCGAAATATAGTTATAGTCATGATGTAGTAGTATTAGTCGAGTTGTAAAGTAGTACTTAACAATAATTCCATAAACTCAGAAACCAAGTGGTGGTGGGTTTGAATTTCACATAACTGTTATAACTGTATAAGTTGATTGTATTAAAATAATATGTAACAATTTTTTCATGAGGTTCGGAATAACAGGTTATTAGTTTTACTGTTTTAGAAGCCCAATGAGATAGTCCATCGAATTCTGTTGTAGAAGTCGAAAATCATAGTCTTTATATAGTGTATAAGCTGATTTGGATAAATCAGGTTGTTAATATTATTTTTTTAGAAGTTCAATGAGATAGTCCATCGAATTTTATAAGATACAAGTTTATCTTTAAAATAAGACTTAACACTGGTTCCACGAAATTTTGATTGGCGGTATATCTTATAGTGGACTATAGTTTCACAAAACACTATTGAGAGTCGAATATTTATTTCAGGATTTTCATTTATCTCTAAATATTACCTCTTGAATTATTAAGTAGTTAATTCGACAATATAGTCGAGTCGAATAAGTATTTTAGGATTTTTATTCATACATACTCTAAATATTATCTCTTGAATTTTTCCAATTCTTAGGTATTAAAATCGACAATAATTATTGTTTAGTTGCATTCCGAATTACTATTCATGTGCTCTCTTTTAAAGCCCATAAATATTTAAAACTTATAATAATTTTTGTTATACTCGTAGTTCATGGTGATTGATTTATATCTTTGAAGCGCATTTCCGACATTAATATCGTTTTTTGAATATATTTTTATATATCGGCATATTCAAAAAGCAATGACCTCAACGAGGTATTGTGTGTTGCATTTATGGAATTATTCGTGCTATCCGATATGCCGCTCCATTGCATCACCGGTTAGTCTCACTATGAAATGCGGTTAAACTTAACACAAAATTGTTGTGTTTTTCTTTTACTATATAAGGATTTTATTTATAAATTTGCCTAATAAGCATTTTTTATTTTTATTATTTTTGGCATTTTTTCAAAGCTTTAATTTTAGAGCAATTTTAAAAATTCATTTAACAAAAAAAATTTTATTTAACTGGCCATGATGGGCAGCTTTGAGATAAATTGCAATGCATGTGCAATGCATGAATCGAATTAATTTTTAACAATTTATTATAATTATTATTTTTTTTTTAATTTATTTTATTTTTACCGGAAATATTATTTGCCACTTTTTTGGCTTGCGTGATTCTCATGTGAAGTGAGCAATTACTTTCGATTTCATTTTACTAAAGTCTGTGTTGATGGAAAAAAAATAAGAAATATTAAAAAAAAAATAAATAAATAAAAAATAAAAGTAAAAAAAAATAATACATAAATAAATATACGTTAATACATATTTAATAAAATTATGAATACTAGAGACGAGAGATATATTGAAACCAATTTCAGAACCTTCAGAAATATTTATGATAATACTTATCCGTCTTTCAGAAATTTATAAAACCTTTAGAAACATTTTCAAAACAGTAATTTTTAACAAGAAAACTTTCCATTTTCCTACTTTTTCCGACTCGTCTACGATTAGGACAAAATATCTGTTAAACTACATAAATTACATAAGTAAAACGTCTTTAGTTTTATTCATTGGGGTTTCTTGCAAGAAACACGTTTTTAAAATAGATTATAACTACTAATTATAGGAAGTTAGAACCGGCATTTACCAGCTGCTGCAACCAACTAATCAAACCATTCTAATCAAAGCAATCAAGCAAAATAGTTCTAGTCATATTTATCGGGATTTCTTGTGAGGAGCACGGATTTAAAATGACTAATAATTACTATTAATAGGGACTTAGAATGCAAAAATTACCTGCTGCTGTAATCAATTTATCAAATAGTTTCCATTACACATCATTGAACCAACTATGACATATTCAGTATTGAGTATTTATTTACCTATCGGGGAACCACATACATGCATTAACATGTTGAATATAAAATCGTTATTACTATATCAACAAAAACAGAAGTTGTCTTTATTTTACATATCTAAAATGTAAATGATAGGATGTCCTTTGACAGTTTGAAAATTCTGAATATATTTTGTTAGTTCACACCCTTATAAAACAGATGAGACACCATTTCAAGGTTTTTATTGCAGTTGAAAATCTGAAACTGCTGTATATAGTATTACAACATATATATATAATAATATCAATTTGTATTAAGATATTTACACATAAACAACCATAATACTATTCACTTACGAGGGCAGTATGATAAGTAAGTTAGAAAGTTAATAAACAGAAGGGACAAATTTTTGTATGTTACACTGTTTATATACATTATCATTATATAGTTATATTATAATTTATTATATTTATATTATCACATATAATATATATATGGTAAAAGATGAGATATATCACACTACAATGCAGCCTGTTATTATATATGGAACTATCGAATAAGCAGATTAGCACTAAGCGGTTAATAAGTTGACTTCACAGACTTGTATGCATCTACAATTAATAGTTTTGTATATTGACTTCTAAATATCTTCTTACAAGGGTTAAACAAAATATCTCCAGAGTTATCAAACTCTCAAAGGAAATCCTATCGCTCACACTTCAGATGTATAACATAAAGGCAACTTTTATTTTCGTTGTTTTAATGCAGTAATAATGAGTCTATATTCAACACCTTAATGCCTTATGTGGTTCCATGATAAGTGCTGTTTTTCAGTTAGAACTACATAAAATTATAAGCTCTCTTTGAATAAAGAGAAGGTGGAATTTAAAGGATACAAACTTTCTTCAAATTCCGGAAAGCTTTTTTTTTTCAAATAAAATTTTTGTCTAAACCAGCAATAACTTGCAAATAAGCCTCGAATATAGTCCGGGGTCTGGACATAAAACAATTTTACACTTTATTAAACAAAAATTAAAAACAAAAAGAAAATTGAAAAAGAAGCCAAAAAATTTTCATTTTATTTTTCTCCCACAAATAAAAAAAAATAATTACAAGTAAAATAAGTAATTATGAAGGGTGTGTTAATGTGAGGGTGTGCATTTTATTTTCAAGTATTAATAAGCATTCATGTTGAAAACTGTATTCCTGCTGGACGTCAACTCCTTCAAAGACACACAGTAAGTCATACATTTGCTTTAGATACTACATGTGCTCACATATATATGGGACATATTCTATAAGTAGGAGTACCAGTGTAGAAAACTGCTAAAATGTGAAGATAGCAATGAACTCAATTCTGCCACTTGAGTTTAAATTAATAAAAAAAAAACATTCTCAAGTACTCTGTATAAGCATATATATAACACAAACATATATATAAATAAATATATGACTAAATAATTTTATCACTTAAGTGCTAGTAATACTGGTGGCATTAAAGCCACATAACTTGAGATAGAATGAATTATAACACTTAAGAGCCTGAATAAAACAAAGACTTTCATTCGAAAAAATGTAATGAATTTCCGTAGAAATTAATTAATTTAATTTGCAGTGATAAAATAATTTTAAAGTATGAGTAAATGTAGGCAGTCTTCTTGATTTCTAGTCGGAGATAAGTCTAACTAACTCTATTGTTCTGTATTAATTGTGAAGCGACAGTTCGTTTATGAAGTAAAGGATCGTCTAAAATGTGCACTAAAATTAAAGTTAAAAAATTATATTTTTATAAAATCTTTTAATAAATAATTCATTAATTTAATTAAGAAATTTAATAAAATAAAATTTTTTTTTAAAAATCCTCAACATGTTTTATTGTGAAAACTGTATTTTGTATTGTATTTAGCTGACTATACAGCTGTTTCGAGTATTGTTAAATATCCATCATCAGTGGTCTTGGAAATGTTTCTTGTATTTAATTATTCGTAATTTTTTCTTAAAACTGCATGTACCAAGGATTAAACTCGTGCCCTGCCAAATTTGAAACTCAGACTCAGCTATTATTAGTCAAATTTATTCATTACTGTTTATTAAATATACTAGTTTCTATTAAATATAGGTCGTGTGCGAGTTAGGCTAAGTTGCGTTCTAAATGAGGGAAATTCTAAGTTGTGTCGATAATGTATTGATGTGTCGATACGTGTTGATAAATGGCAAAATGTGTGCAGTGCAAAAAATCCCAAAAAATCTCCCATTTGGTTTAGCATCAACTTAGCCTAACTCGCACACGTCCATAATAGTCACTTCCCTCTTAAACTGACGTCATATTACAATTTATATTCAAGATAAATATTTATTTAATAAGAAAATATAAATTTAATAGTTTCCTTCCATAAGACATTGTCAAAAATAAAAATAAATGATTAAATTCTTTGGAATATTAATGTGTTTATGGTTTCTTAGCTAGAAGTCAAAGCTCGTCTTTGAAGCTAGTATCTGAGTGAAGTACTTCGAATATTATTTTCATGTTTCTCTATAAGTCTAAAAAAAAAAGTCACGAAGACCCTTATGCTTCATTAAGGCTAATTGAAAACAGAAGTCATTATCTTAGTGCCACTCATCTTTGGGTACCTCCTATGATTTCAAATTTTATCGAA